CACGCAGTTTTTCGATTTTAATGTCATTTCTGTCCAGTTGTGGTTCAGCTTCGTGAGGCTCTTAGTTGTTTCCAGTCAATAATGTTTTCAGTAAGGATGAGTGCAAGTTTTTGCAAAGAAAATGCTAGATATTTATTCCACAGTGATGAAACAACTACTCATGAATAATAAGAATAATTCCGACGCCTATTTTTGGGGCAAGAGAAAAAAATGTTTTTTCTTGCAAATCTATCAGTTTTTTTGGTTACTCAAAAATTTTGAATCACAACATCCTTGTTCTTTAGAACTATAAAATTTAAAGTGCTATTAGAAGTTTTGTTGGTCGGCCCCTATTGCATTTGTATTGGTGGATCAATGTATCATTTTTCATCTTTTAAAAATGTTGCATGTTGACTATTCAAACCTTAACGCTGTGCTAGTCATTCCTCCGTTACTTTTAAGAAACGGCTGTGAGTTTGCAGAAGCCTCGTTACCTTCTTTTTTTCTTCATGAAAGTTGAATGAAACCAAACCTGAATTTGCGTTACGCTGCTGGATTTCAAGACCATATTTTTTATTCAAGCTGTCTTTGAAAAAAAAACTAGAATGATTAACCTCTCCGACCGGAAAGGTTTGATTTTTATTTCGGACTCTCTGTCGAAGACTCTTGCATTCAGCAAACTGCAGATGGCTGACTACGAATGCAAAATTAAGGCAGAGAAAAAAAACCTCATTTCTCCTGCTAATCGATGTTTCTTGATGGTCAAAAGTGAGGGAGAGTTGCCCAAAGACAATGTCAAAAATAGAGGAAGGAAAAGGCAAAGTTGAGTGCTTTGTGGTGGGGTTTCGGCAGGCCGTTATAGATGGTACGTCGTAAAATGCATTCGTCGACGCACAAAGAGCATTGTCTAATGCTATCTTTTTTTCTTGCCTTTAAGTTTCTCTTTTTTTTTCAGTTTTTGCACTTGCATGTTATCCACAGTTCCGTACATTTTCGCCGTTATTGTGGGATTTACTGCTATGCGCGTAGCCAGTAAGCTTTGACTAGATATACTAACTTGGTATTGATTGTGCCCTAAAATAATCATGGATATTATGGGTTACAGGAATATTTTTAAAATTATTTGTAGTAGTGTTGGTAATTTCAAATTTTTGCTTCGAGGGGAACTTTTCTGCAGTGAATTATATTCTCAAGGAAAAATTGAAATTTTTGTTGAGCATTGCCTGTTGATTTTTTCTTGAGTTGTTCAGTAACGTTTCAGTACCATTATCGTCTTTACTTGAAACGTATGACAGAATCATTTCATTGCTTATACTTTTTGGACTTTTGTATCTTCCTTCACCAGGTTTATATTTTATTTTTGCTGACCGTTTGATTTTTGTTTGACATTCCTATTAAAAACGGCAATAATTAGCCGTAATAAGCCTCTTCATCATTGGAGGACCAGCTGGTAAATGTGTAATTGAATTTTAGATTACAACTTTTAAACTCTTCATATGTTTTCTTTTTCTGACTGCATTCTTTTTTTTATTTCTCTTTGCAGAAAATACCGTCGACGGTACCATTGTTTACGACACATGTAAACTGAAGTACAAGGGTCACTTGGTGAAAGTTTTGCGTCCAATTCAAATAGAATTTACTTTCAGAAAGGCTACGTGCTTATGACGCAGCAGTATTCGTTTTCACTAGTTATTCCCAGCATTTATCGTTCCATCTACCTATTTTATCACTTCCACTAACCATAAATTCAATGTTTCGTTTGAGAAGAGCAAATACAACAAGAAAAATAAACTCTGACTGGTTTCTAGAAAGAAAGCTTTTACACTTCTTCTTTATTATTTTGTTTCAGATTTGACAATATTATTTCAATTCAGTGGTTCTTACGGGATTTACTTCGTTTATTTATTTATTTTTTTTGATCTTTAATTACTCTATCGCCTACGTTGTTTCTGATTTGACTGCATCGTGTTTTTTAATAAACTGTTAGACAAACCTTCTGAGCAACTAGAAATAGTTGTATTATCAGATTTTTGTATGCGAAAATAGTAACAAAAGAAGTGTTAGACGTTGCAACTGTGTTATTTTTCTACACATTTGTATCGATTTGGCCGTCAAACAAACGTAGAACTGGATTGCCGTATAAGTTTGTTTTTTGCTGTGGTTTTCAACCTCATAGTACTTCAAAGATGTATCACGGGCGAAATGTCTTTAGCGAATTGATGTAGTACGGATGAAGAGGTTTTTCGCTGTTTACTGCTGAAAAGTAGAGAAAAAAGAGGGGAAGACGAAATAGTTTCATTTTTTTTTATTTGGGTACAAATTGATCAGAATTTTTCGAAGAATATGCCTTCTGACTCATTGCTCCTGTACATTCATTGGAAAATATATTTCAGTAGACTGCAACTGTTCAGTTTCTCCCTTAAATGTTTTCTGTTCTACTCTATAGCTGTTTTTACTCTTTAACAATAATTTTTGTATGTTATTCGTCTGTATCAAATAGGACAATACAATCAGCGCTGCTGGGGACGATATTCAATTGTTCTAACAGAGAATTTAGCACTGTTTTAACAATTTGTTGGCTGAGACAGCTCTAATGTAGTCTCTGTTTCTGATGCATCTCTGAAGAAGTTTTTAGAGGACTTTGATTTAGTGCAAATTCCTTCCATCGCTTCCCTTTTTAAACTTGCACGCAAATTATTTGGAAGTTTATGGGAATTATCAGTGTGGCCGAAGTAAGCGCAGTCTGTAACTTCAGCATATGGAAATTACCGGCTATCATTTTAATACTAAAATTTTTAAAACTTTTTGAGTTACGAGAATCAATGGAAAGTGAGGGTGTTCAGTTCGGTAACATGCATTACACCGTGAAGGGAAATGAAGAATCACGACTTTTGAAGTGGCAGTGGCTTGACTTTAGGACGAAGTTTTGCAGTTGCCCCTAGAAATAAATACGTCGTTTGGCTTTACTCACTGTTTGCCTCTTGCAGCCACGAAGGTGCGAAACGAGCGGTACAGTGAGTAAACGACAGATTTATTATTTTCAAGGC